GGTGGTGGTGGGTCTGGTGTCTGGTTTGTGTTGTGGCAGGTATTGGATGGGTTAAAGCAGGGCACACCCCTCTCTCCTTCCGGGGTAAGTCTGATAGGCAGACAGAGACCGGAGACCATCATAAGATAGTAACTGGTGTATTGTGGGGATGTATCCAGGCACAGCAGAGGCACAAAAATGGCAGTGGGGACCATTTTTCAGACAGAAGCAGTTTGTGCGCCCTCATTCAGTTCCGTTTGCATGGATCACTGATGGGGAAAATCCTGGAGGTGCAAGTCCAAGAGGACTAATATGGTGAGTTGTGATTTACGGGTCCTGCGTGTGCATTACTTCAGCAGAGCTCCTATTGATGGTGTTACCTCAGCTGCTGTTGCAGCTGTTTCTCCTTTGAAATACAAGTGTATTAATAGGAACTTTATATTTTTTGCAGAATCAAAGAATTCCATCAGACATGGTATTTCTTAGGACTTCAGAAAAAGCAGGTATTCTTTTGTTTTGTTTTTCAGTGGTGGTGGTTATTTGGTATTTTGGCGGTTTAATTTTCATTTTGAAAGACAAAAAAAATATGCACTTTTAAAATGTTTTCTTTGAATGATAACATACTGAATTCACTAATTTCAAAATTCATTTAACTATTAATTTTAAAAGGCGATTGTAGTGTGTTTAGAAACCTGTAATCCTACCAGAGCCTATTTGTCTGCTAAACGTTTGTATTCAGTTTTATATTGATATCAGATTAATTAGATGACAGTTACGATGATGTGGGGATTCTGTTCATCAGTTCTAAAACGTGTATTTGCCATGTGTCAGTGCAGTTGTTCCTGTTGCCTAGGAGACAACAGGAAGCAATACCCTGTGCTGTGTGTGGTCGTGGACATGTGCACTTTGCAGAAGCCAGCATGGTTGACGGAAGGGCCCATGAGGGGCTGTGGGAGGGGCAGACCAGTTTGCCCAGGTGCGCTGACAAGGGCTTCACTTGCGTAAATGGTCCTTGGCCGGCCAGAGCTTCTGATGGGAAGCAGGGGACAGGATGGCATGGGCTTGGGCCATGATTGCAGCCAAGCAGACTGCTCCAAGCGTGGTGGCTCACCAGCCCCATCCTGCTGACAGTTAGTGAGTGCCGTTTCGTCTCTGTACCCCAGGGTCCAGGGCTTAACTGGGAGGTGTCACACCTGAGGGCTGGCTGGCCAGCAGCCTCCCAAACCTGGGCTGAGGAAGGTCAGCAGAGTCAGTGGACCTGACCTTGGTGTGTCCAGCGTGACTGGGATGCCTCCATTCCCCTGCTCCATGGCTGCACTCTGTCCACCTTCCTCTCCTCACTCTGGTCCAGCGCGGTCTCGAGGCCTGGGGTCTGGCTCGCTCTGGTCCAGCATGGTCTCGAGGCCCGGGGCTCTGGTGTCCAGGTCCTAGAACAAGTGCCAGGCTGCCAGGTGCTGGGGAGCAGGCCCAGGAACCTCGCTCTTAGACCCCTCACTCAGGCTGGAGTTGGATAATCCTTTTGAGATCCGTTGCAGTGGTGCTGGTAAGAGGTGTCACGTGCGGTCACCTCAGCTGAAGGGGACCTGGCACCTGTGGAGCCTGGGCCAAGTGGGAATGTAAGGTGTGAGTGGGAGACCAGAGCAGAAAGTGGCGTCAGCCATGCCATGCAGACTGGGATCGTATAGAGGACTTCAGTGGGGAGGTGGCCCCTCTGCGCTTTGGACAGACAGCTGTGGGGATGGAATGGGCCTCTGCCCAGTGTTTAGAGGAAGAAGGTGAGGACTGAGAACAAAACTGCCCTGAGGTTGTAGCCGTCTCCCAGGGCATTGTGGTGTGGCCCGTGGCACGGCCTGAGTGGAGCAGAGCACATTCAGTGAGTGAGAGCCTCTCTGGCACACTGATCTCCGGTGAGTAACACGCTATCCCCGGGGGCCTGGACACTTGGCCACTAGTCGAAACTGGGAAGGCTGCAGTCCACACAGAGCAAGAGTTGCTGATTACTTACAGGCAGATCCTAGGAAAACAAGGGGGCGTTTCCTGCTGTTTTCTTGTCTTTATAAAATGGAGCAAATGGCTTCCAAGCTGCATCAGGTCACGATACTGCTTTCAGTCAGGGATCCTTTGCTTTAGAAATTTGGTGTCTCATTTTAGTCCTTGTTCCAGTTTTTCAACTGCACAGCTTTCAAAAACCCACAGTGTTGACACTGACAGTGTCTTCTGCTCCCAGGAACACTTTGGATGTTACTCTGGTGCTTTGCAGTTTCAGTTCAGAGCAGCCTTTACATGCCCCCAATCCTCACCCTCACCCTCACCCTCACCCTGAAGCCCTCCACCAGGCCACCGTGTGGGTCCCAACATGCAGCGTGCTCAGAGTGGGCGCAGGCAGCTGGTGCTCGTCAGTGTGGGAGGTGAGGCGCTGGTGGCCTCTTGCTGACTGCTCATACAGGGTATCCCACCAGGCCATCCATTGATTGTTCAGAAAGTAAACGGACCCTCTGATGGATCTGGTGACAGATGGCTTCAATACCAATTAATCAGTGGCTTCGTCACTTTCTTAATTCAGATCAAATATCTCCTGAATGAACACGATCCTTTCAGGGGTATTAAGAGAAATTAATGCTCTGGAACGAGTTTTCATCCATCTCCTGTAAATGCCGATATCCTTCCCTGGTGTCTCCTAAGTGATGACAGTGTTGAAGTGTGTGGGCCACGTGGTAGGACCTAGCGCTCACTTACCTGGGGAGCAGGCTGGGTGGTGACCCTGAAGCTCGTCCCTGTTGTCCTACTGCTGCTGCTCATCTTGTCACCAGCTTAAAGCTTTCATCTTGTAAATGATTTACAAACTACATTTCTCAGTAGACGGGCTGGTATTAATAGGCCTCTGAACAGTGCCTGTTTTCCTTTGATGGGCAGGCACTGTACCTCAGCTCTTTCACAGCTGTTGGATTGGTGAGCTGTTGCAGGTGGTTGACTGACGCTGTATGACAGTTTGCGCACTGCATTACACCACACCTGTCAGCCACTTCATCACCACCGGGGCGGGCGCTCCAGTGTGACACATATACTGGTCGATCTAAATTTAATTGTCATTGAACTTACCCTTTCCTGTCAACTTTTGTCAATTATACAAGATAAAATCAAGTGTTCCTAAGAAGCCTGTAAAGGATATAAGCAGACTGATTTAATAATTCATTTTTGCGGAACCCTACTTGTGTTGGTTGTAGCTTGCTGTTAAAAATGAGTAGGTCCAGTTCCTTTGAGACCTGCCTGTCCTGCTTCCTGGGTTGCCACACTCCATACATTCTAAGCCCCATCATTCGCAAGAGGTCAGTCACCTGAACTCTGTTGGAGGGTGAATAATAACGCCATTTCTCTGAGTTTTTAAAGTGTTACATAACTGTTTAGATGTGAAGCATGGTTTTGTTTTTTTTTTAGAGAAATCTAGATATTGGTCTCACTTTCGATAACACAGAATGATAAAAGGTGAAGGCTCTTGTGTGTGTCACAGACTGAACCTAGTGTGGAGAGTAGCGCGTTGAAGCCTTGGTGTGTGTTCGACAGAACTGCATGCCTAGCCCAGAGGAGGCTAGATGTGTGTTTCCAGAGCAAGCACACTTCCGTAGTTCAGAGGACAAACCAACCGTAAGAAAGGTTCACCTGCAAAATACCACACACCACACGTTTCCTTGTAACTTTTCATGCTGGAAACAAATCTGCTTGTGCACAGTATTTGCTCTCTCAGACCAGATACAAAGTGGCAGAGTGACACATAACAAAATCTGTGGACATTGCAGGCTGTACAACTCAAAGTGCATGTCTTTAGACTGAGGTCTCCTGAAACCAAAAACAGCCAGACCCAGCACCGTCGAGTCTACTCAACTCACAGCGACTCCCATTGGGTTTCTGAGGGGTACATCTTTATGGAAATAGATTGCCTATCTTCCTTCCGTGGGGCAGCTAGTGGGTTTGAACCTCCAACCTTCTGGTTAGCAGTCAAATGCCTTAGGTACTGCATCACCAGAAACTCTTATGGCCTTCTGAATATACCTTTAATTGATAAAACAGGTGATCAAAACACTCACCATCGCTCTGGATCTTAGAATGCCTTAATGTCTCCCAGTAAGGCAGTGTTGCACAGTAGTTGAAAGGATTAGAAACTGTATTTATGAAAGGATTACCTAAGGAGGGCACATTTTAGGCACTGAACTGCTGCACGCTGTTAGGATCTGAAAGTGCACTGGCTGGATATTTGTCCAGAGCTGATTGGCGTCTATGCCAAGAACAGGAATGAAAACACCCCCGGATGTGTCCATTGCATTTCTTTTGGAGTCTGAGGGAGATGAGGGTGCACCTGTGGTTGGATGGAGCAGTTTCGTTTAGAGCTTTGAGTTAGCAAAGTCAGTTGTGACACGTTCTTGCCTTGTCTGCCTGGACATAGCCCCAAATCTGAGAAGTCCTTAGCTGCTAGGCATTCACTGTCAGCCTTTTAAGATACTCTTCCTCTAAGTTTTACAGCACACCTCCAAGGTAAGTGGTGATGCAGACACAGAGCTTACTGAGTTAAAGAACTTGACAAGGATTGCAGTTGGTAAACCACGGGGCTGGTATTTAGGCTGAGCCGGCCTGCCCTTCCCCCCGTGTGACACCAGGTTCTCATGCCCACTGATGCCTGGAGCAGAGTCTGTCATCTTCAGCACGATTGGCACGGGGGCCAGGTATTTCTTTGCCGTTGGGGTCTGTCTTAGGCGTTGAGGAGGTTGAGCAGCACCCCTGGCCTTTGTGGCGTAGATGCCAGTGCTGAGCCCCTCGGGCAACCAGGAGGAACCCCAGACGCTGCCAGGCACCCCTGGGGGTGGGAGTTGCTCCCGGCTGAAAACCAGTGAAGGGCTGAACTCTCCCCCATCGAGCAGAATGGCTCCAAGTAAATCTTAGCTGTCCAGGTATGGCTGTGTTACTGTTGGTCAGAGACTGTCTTTCTCAGCATGCTGTGTGGCATTTGAGCCATCACTGCCATCTCCTTCCAGTTTAGCTCCTCATGAATGGATTGCATCTGTCCTCCAAGCCAGTGCAGCCAAGAACACGCTCCCTCACCTTGCAGCTCCCAGAATAAGCTGGAGTTTCACCTGGGATGGGCCAGCGACCATCTCTCATTCTGCCCAGATCCATGTTATAGAAGTTCCCAGCAGGCTTGGTCAACAGGGCTGGGCCTCCCTCCCAGCTCCCACTCACAGGCATGAACCTTCCAGGCCAAGGCTGCTGGGGCCTCAAGTACTCCTGCCCCAGCTAGTCCCAGGTAGTTTGTGGGGCTTTGGCTGCCCCATGCCCTCCACGCTCACTTGTGGATTTGAACTGGAAAAGAAAAATCAAGGAATTTGGAGACAGAGTGATAGAAATTAGGCATTCCTGGGAACAGAGAGAAGGAATATTGAAGAAAAGTAAACAGGATCAGAGTATGGCACCAAGTGTATGATGGGAGTACCAGAGGGAGAGGCAAGAAGGAGCA